TCCCCGCTGAGCAGGGAACCCGATGTGGGACTCGATCCCAGGACCTCGGGATCATGATCTGAGCCGAAGGCAGATGCTTAACATCTGAGCCACCCAGGCGCCCTTTGTTTTAAAATAAAAGGATTAAGTATCGACTCCTTTAACTAAAAAGATTACTTGTCCTAATAATATAAAATAAATCTCTATGAGTTGGCATGAGGGATGGATTAAAGTTGCCTTAAAATCTTTATACCAATAATAATTATCCATAGGAAGAAAAAAATTCTTGCTACCCAGCTGCCCAACTGCCTCTCAATATAAGAAATGTCATCATATATAAGCTTCAGGACATTTTAGGTTTTCTTCAATCTCCAAGTAAGATGAAGGTGATTAAATTATACATGAAATATTTTCTGGAAATTTGACTTTAAGTTGTTGGCGATGAGAGGTCAAGAAAGGAGGGAGAAAATTTTTTTAAAACATTTTATTTATTTATTTGAGAGAGACAGAGAGAGAGAGAGAGAGAGAGAGCTCATGAGCAAGGGGAGGAGCAGAGGGAGAGGGACAAACAGACTGTGTTGAACATGGAGCCCGATGTGGGGTTCAAACTCACAATCCTGAGATCAAGATCTGAGCTGAGATCCAGAGTCGGATGCGTAACCAACTAAGCCACCCAGCTCACTTTTTTAAATCACAGCTCAGATGTCACTTTCTCCAGGAACCATTCCCTAATCTGACCCATTCCCTCTCCTCTGTTGTTCCCCAAACCACCGGTAACCCATCTGAGTTAGGCTTCCAAACAACCTGGATTTTTAAAATCTTTCTCCTAAAACTCATTCCACTGTATCGCTGATTGACTCTCGCCCTCCTCAACTCCGCTCTAGGAGGACCGGAACCGTACTGAGTTCATCTCATCCCCAAGGCAGTCTCAGCGCTCAATACATGCCTGGTAGGTGAAGGGACAGACGCACAGAGGGGGAAGGGAGCAGAGCCACCTTACTTGTCCCCTGCAGATGATTTGTGCTCTGCCCTATACTGTCACTACCCTTTCTAAGCACTACTGTATTTGAGTTAAGGGGTGTCTTCTAAGTGGGAAAAGTCACTGGGTTCCTTTAAGCAGTATATCCAGCATGCCCTGCTAGCAAATTGTTCATTCACAGTAGAAGCCAAAGTCATGATAGCCTTCCAGGTCCTGCTAGATGGCCTCACCTCATTCTCACTGCCTTTCTGACAACATCTCTTGCAATCCTGACTTCACTCTCTCTGCACCAACCACAGGGGCCTCCTCGCTGATTCTTGACAACACCAGGCCTCTTCCTGCCTCAGGGTCCTTGCGGTTGTCTAGAAAGTCAGAAAGCTCTCCCTCCAAAGAGCTGCACTTTCCAGTCTGTGCCCGAACATCACCTTCTTAGTGGCACCTTCTTTAACCACCCGTGCACCTCACACTTCCTATATGCCTGCATCTCTGCTTTGTTCTTCTCCAATAACATTTAGTATCTGCCATGGGATACATTTTAATTGTTGGTCTCCCACAAGGGATGTAAGTTCCCTGTAGGTAAGGACTTTTGTCAATTTTATTCCCTGCTGAATCCTCAGCATCTAGTTTCTGATACACAGCAAGTGCTCAGGGGTTTACGTGGCACAGCAAGTCATGGTTTTCAAGCTTTTAAAAAGTAGTGCAAACAACAAGAAAACAGACCACCTAATTTAAAAATGGGGAAAGGACTCAAATATAGAATAAATAAATATTGAATAAAGAACACGATGTTTCTCTTAAGAAGCTACATCTGGCCAATAAGCACATAAAAAGATGCTCAACATACTAATCATTAGGGAAATACAAAACCACAATGAGATACCACTTCACACCCATTAGGATGGCTACTTGAAAAAAAAAAAAACCATCAGAAATCAGCAAGTGTTGGCAAGAATGCAGCAAAACTGGAACCCTGTGCATTGCTGGTCGTAATGGAAAATGATGCAGCTGCTGTAGAAAACAGTACGGCAGCTCCTCAAAAAATTAAACAGAATTACCGTATCATCCAGCAATTCCACTCTGGCCATAAATCCTAACGAACTGAAAGCAGGGACTGACAGCTATCTGTAGATCCATGTTTATAGCAATATTATTCACAGATGGAAGCAAGTGTCCATCGATGGACAAACTGATAAACAAAATGGTGTGTACACATGGGAATGGAATATTATTCAGTCTTAACAAAGAATGAAATTTGACACATTCTACAACATGGATGAATCTTGGATATTATAAGTGAAATAAACCAGACACAAAATGACAAATATTGTATGATTCCACTTTATATGAGGTACCTAGAGTAGTCAAATTTATAGAGAAACAAGTAGAATAGTAACTGGCAGGGGCTGGGGATAGGGAGGAATGGCGGTCAGGGTTTAATGGGTACAGAGTTTCAATTTCAGAAAAAGTTCTGGAGATGGACGGCAGCAAATGGTAATAAGGTGTTTGATGCCACTAAACTGTGTACCTAAAAATGGGTTAAAATGGCAAATTTTATGTTATGTATAATTTCCCACAGTTAAAAAATGGCAGCACAGCTTTTTGCCTTAAACTCTAATAAAAAGCCGGGCGCCTGGGTGGCTCAGTCGTTAAGCGTCTACCTTCGGCTCAGGTCATGATCCCAGGGTCCTGGGATCGAGCCCCGCATCGGGCTTCCTGCTCCGCGGGAAGCCTGCTTCTCCCTCTCCCACTCCCCCTGCTTGTGTTCCCTCTCTCGCTGTGTCTCTCTCTGTCAAATAAATAAATAAAATCTTAAAAAAAAAAAAAAACTCTAATAAAAAGCCTAACATGTACGGCAGATAGAAATGAAGTGGCTGCACCTAAAGCAGGAAATGGAGGGCAGGAAGGGTTCACTCTGCTTGGCACCTCCTCGCTGCCTCCTGAAACAGGGACCCCACAGAGCTTCAGGACAATCACAGGCAAGGTTCATGGCTCCATCCTAAAGTTCTTAGGCACTGGTTTCACTGTTCTTTTTTTTTCAAAAAGATTTATTTATTTATAAGGGGGGGGTGGGAGAGGGACAGGGAGAGGGAGAATCTTTTTTTTTTTTTTTTTTTAAGATTTTTAAAAGTTTGAGAGAAAGAGAAGGGGATGAGGGGCAGAGGGAGAAGCAGGCTCCCCACTGAGCAGGGAGCCCCACACGGGGCTCAAACCCAGGACCCTGGGATCATGACCTGAGCCGACGGCAGATGCTTTACTGACTGAGCCACCCAGGTGCCCTGGAGAGGGAGAATTTTAAGCAGGCTCTACGCTCAGTGGGGAGCTCAGTGGGCTCGATCAAACAACCCTGAAATCATGACCTGAGCTGAAACCAAGAGTTGGACACTTTACTGACTGAGCCACCCAGGTGCCCCTGGTTTCACTGGTCTTAAGGAAAGGTTAAGTTAAAAAGTTATTCCTGGCTCCATTTCTAGGAGGAACTTAGCAACAAGGAAAAATGACATCACCAACTGGCCTTGGGCCAAATGTCAATGCTGACTAATTTTTACAGAAATCACTTCATATCCCGGTGGCAGGGGAGAACTAACAGGGAAAAGAGCAACATGAAGTCACTGGCACCCATATCTAATTATCATCAATATCTCACATTTTCTGAGCCCTTTTCCATTAATAACTCAATCCTCAAAACAATCCTGTCAAATAGGCATGAAGGAAAATTGTGTGACCTCTCACTTTACAAATGGATAAACATACAAAATTCAGTGGACATTATCCACAGAGAATCCCTAAAGTGGAACTGACTTTAGGATAATAATTGCTCACATTTATCAAGGATTTATAAATTAAGACACTGGCTCAACATTTCCATGGACAATGGATATCATACATCCAACCAGTCTTTTCCTACCATACTTGGTAGTAGTAACTATTACTTCTTTTTCTAGGAAACTAAGGCTCAAAGAATAAATAACCATCCTAAAATTAAATGGTTTGATATATGATGGATGGTGATGGATTGCTCTGAAACCTACTACTCCAGAGCCTGTGCACTTAACCACTATTATTCTGTACTGCCCATCTGAGTCCTTGACTCGGCTCTTTAGGAAAAGCCCAGTCAATGCTTCCTTCAGCCTTGAACACAAGTACAGCTGATGAGTCTCCATTCGTCACTGTGTTTCTAAGTTGAACTAGTATGAACAAAATAAATCAGTACTCTTATTCCCTGCGCTAAATGCAATGAGATACTATTTCTTACACTGAAAAAAGATTCCTGGATCCTTTCCAATCCTATAAAAATGTATATACAAAAATATCCTCAAGATTATTGGAATAAAAAGTCACATTTGGATCATCTCATTCAATGTTTCTTTTCTGTAAGCTAAATAATCTGCTGGTGGACAGAGTACCGATTACTCCCTATACTTTTGAGTGCTTCTTCAGAACTTTCTGAGGATGTCTGCTTTCTTCTCCAGAAACTGAAGAGAGGAGAAACGCTTTGTGGCTTGTCAACAAGGCATTCAGTCTGCAGGGCTGCCCCATGGGATGCAAGGGCTTTGGGCCGACTGAAACAAGGATTAATTTGGAAGAGCATCAGGCAGAGGCTCCCACTAGACAACTCTAACAGACAGGCAAGCGGAAGAAGGGGGCAAAGCCATGGCAGGGCTGCAAGCCAATGGCTAGAGTTCCTTCCATCCCTCAGAAGAGGCTCCCAGAGACCGTCTCCTTCACAAAAATCTTAAAGTGGCTCCTTCACAACCACCAAACAATATATATATTGTATCTCAACAAAATCTATATACGATGTGGGTGTTTTATTTACTCTACGCGTTAAGAATCTAATCAACACCAGCTCTTCACACGTGTTTGACTTCACACACAGCTTTGACTGTGTGATACCGTGAGTAGAGATGGGCTGCTCCACTAACTCTGGGGACATTGCTTTTTACTCTCCCATTACAGACCAGGATTCAGCTCTAGCACCCTGGGGGGCCAGGGTGCCCATATGCCTCTCACCTGAGAACTGGGGGGTGAAGGAGGGCCTTACCGAGTTCTCCTTCAGTTGCAGCCCCTCCCCATTGGGAAGGGAGGACCGTCTCTTAGCCGAGTTCCTGTTCGGGGTTGAGGTAATGGCCCCTGCTTTCTTCTTCACAGTGAGAACCTCACAGCTGGCTTGGTCTTCATTATGTGTGCTCTTCCCAGCATTGATAACCCTGCAGAAGAAGCCAGGAGAGTGGTCAGACAGAAATTTCTGGAAGGCTCAGAGCTCAGACTCAAGGGTCAGCCTAGGCAGTCTCCACAACTGGCACAAAACTAAAGCCCTACCTAGTGCACAGGACCCTGTAGTCTTGGTATTCTATGTTCCTGAGTAAACTAATTTTTCTAAAATGGAGTTATATTAGCACACATTAAAACATTTCCTAAAGCACTATTTCAAGCCCGGTTCACCTTCCCAGGTGTCTGACAGCTGTGAGCAACCCCACCAAAGATTTTGGTCAAAACACAGGAGACAATCACTCTTCTGGCAATTACCATGAAGATCGATGGGCAGACTGGGGGGAATTCTGCTGCATTTCTCCAAGTGATAAAGAGCAAAACCCACCATCAATCTTATCAAAGAATAAGGTAGTGCAGTAATTTAGAGCACATTGTAAAATCCAAGAGAACAGAGAATCACATTTCACTACCGCCGTGCCCACTTTTGCTTTACTCACAGAGAAGTGTGTGCATCAAAGGTGTATTCTTTTTAAATTATCTTTAATCCTTCATTTTTTCTCCTATAGAATAATATTCATCACATTGCACCATTACAGTAGGCTATAGGGCACTCTGATTTGGTATTATAGCATGTTGATAATGCTTTGGCCTAATTGTTTTAAGCATAGGAATGCATTAGAAGAACATGCCACATCATTCGTCTACCTTTTCTGTATCAGGTGACTGCAGGTGAACTCTTGGGTTTCAGCATCATTTTCTAATTAAGTAATTAATTAGCAGCTAAAATAGATTTCCCAAAAGACAGAGCTCTCTTTAATTGGCCATTGGCTGTATTTTCTTTTCTTGTTTTGCCTTTTTTTAAATTTTATTTTATTATGTTAATCACCATACATTACATCATTAGTTTTTGATGTAGTGTTCCATGATTCACTGTTTGCATATAACACCCAGTGCTCCATGCAGAA